TGAAAATACTTTTTTACTAGCTAACTTGTCTAACAGGTCATCGATAAGCGGTATAGGGTAATTGTCTTTAATTAAAACCCTGTTAAGTTTTCTAAAATCTATGCAAAGTCGTATGTCCCCGGTTTTTTTCTTCACTAAAACTATGGGAGAAGCATATTCAGACTGGCTTGGCTGAATGATCCCGTTCTCTAAATAATCGTCCAAAAGTTTTTGCAGTTTTTCTTTTTCCGCATAGGCAAGCCGCCGCGGAGCACAGCTAAACGGTTTCGAGCTTTCTAAATTAAGTTTTATCTCACTTTTAATAACCGGTTCCTTTGGTTTCTCTACCCTAATGTAATTGTATTCAATTATCTCCTTTAATTGAGGTAAAAGATCTTGATTATCAATTGTACCGCATATGTAATCAGTGTCTTCGTCATCCATATAGTTTATGCGAAGCATTTCACGAATAGTTTTAGACATATTGCTTTCATTTTTGTTATTGACTACATCGCCCCCACTAACCTCGTCGATGGCAGCCGGACCGGTTGCCTTACTGACTATAGGGTCGTCTTTATTCCCGATCGAAACTCTTATTGCTCCACAATCTCTAAAACTAACTGTTTTAGTACCTGTACCACCATTTTCTTGTATAACTGTATCATCAACTTCTTCGCTAAATGAGTCAATTATTGAATTACTAATTGTATTACCAATTATTTTTCTAACTGTATCTTTTACTGTTTCTTTAACTTTATCATTAATTGGTTTGCTAACTGTATCACTAACTGTTTCTCTAACTGCATCACTAACTGTTTCACTAACTGTGTCACTAACTGTTTCTCTAAGTGTATCACTAACTGTTTCACTAACTGTGTCACTAACTGTTTCTCTAACTGTATCACTAACTGTTTCACTAACTGTATCACTAACTGTTTCTCTAACTGTATCACTAACTGTTTCACTAACTGTGTCACTAACTGTTTCTCTAACTGTATCACTAACTGTTTCTCTAACTGTATCACTAACTGTTTCACTAACTGTGTCACTAACTGTTTCCTTCAGAACTTCGATATCACTTTCCGGCTCCTTGCTAGCATCTAAATTATGCGTTAATTTGAATTCCCAGGCATTGCATACACTTTCATTACAATCGGCTCAATTGTGATCATTTTTAAGGCGCTTAAATCTAATTCTAAACTGCAAGCATCCATAAAATTCCTCCCAAGAACAACCTCATGGCTCATAGACTCATTGGGCACAATATAAAGGTAAAAGTACCATTTCAATCGATTTTTAATTATGTAACAAAGCATTCTTCCATAAATTTTCAGTTGGCTTTTATTCAGCCCAAAGTAGTTTTCGGAGACGAACTCCATTTTAATTTTAGAGGAAATAACGGCTGTTTTGGCGAATGATATTGGGCTGCCAGTGTCTATGAGGCATGCTGCAATTAATGTGGTTTTAGGACTGTTGTAAAAAAATATTTGTATATATCTTACGTATTTATTTGCATTTGCGCTTTTACGCTCAGGGCATTGACCCACAAAGTGTTCAAATTTGCCATATGCGTAGCATGATCCGGGCTCTCGTTTCGGTTTCTGGCAGTCCTTGGCGTAGTGGCCCTTTGAGTTGCAATTGGCGCAACGGAAGTCCTTTGTGTCAGCAATCTTTCCGGAAGAGCGCTGCGAAGAATTGACCTCCTGCTTTCGTTCAGGTAAACGGATTGCAGAGAAGGCTTTCAAAATCTGCCCAGGTTCGGCGAAACATTGTATGCGAGCTTGGTCGCGTAGCCCTGGTGCTGGAATTCCTTCGATGATGTTTTCGAGGAGCTCCTCCTTGTCGATGTTTATATCGTTGCCCAGCATAACTTTCTCCTCGAAATAAGAAGCGAACCTTTCTCCTGAACGCCACTGACGATTTTGGAACGCGTTCCTCAGCTCCCCCTTTGACATCTTAGTTGCAAATGCTAGGATCAGCTGCTCACAAAGGTGGTCGGTTGGCTCCAAAATGCGTGTTGCGTTTGCGTGCAGCCAAATTTGGGCTTTTCCTTTTAGTTTGGCAATAAGAAGCATGCGCACACCAAACGAGTCCAAGTTGTACACCTGCGCCATGTTTTGCAGCTGTGTGACCCAGTTACGGGCACACGAGTTGCCGTCGTAGTCCATCGTTACTTCCTTTGCCAATGCGAGTGTTGTTGCGGGAGATTGTAACAATTTGTTTACATTTGTAAACTGGCATTGATCAGCACTGTCTGTGGCGTGCTTTCCAACACTAGAATTATCGATATCAAAGTTATCCCTGGCGCTGTTAACCCTGGGGCTGTTAGCGTTAACAGCGTCAATGCAAGCGAAACTGTTAGGGTTGCCAGAAGTTTCGATGCTGCATTCGATGACGTCATGGACTTGCTGAGCATGATTTGGCTTGTCCCTGGTGACGTCAGCGATCTCCGCCTGAAGCTGTTGCAATATGGCCTTGCTTGCGTCGATTTCGTCGAGAATTTTCTGCAGCTTCACCCTTTCGACATCTACCACAGAAACGTTCTCCGTTCGTATATCGTCCACTGCCTGTGACGTCATCGTACCAGAGTCGAACAGAGCTTCCTGTTGCAGCGGCAATGATGCGGCTCCCTCTAATTCGGTTTCTAGCGGCTGCTGGCTGTTGAATGAGGCTCCATTTGGTGGATCACCACGTGCCTCTGATGATAGGGTCTGCAGACGCGCCATCAATTCTGCTTTCGAGCCTGAGGTTTGCAGCCCGAGCACATTTAGCCAGTTTTTTAACTGAACGACCGTGAATTGATTTAAATCCATGTCAGGCATTTTGAGTAAGAACCACTTCTGATATTGTAATAGGCAATAAATGTACTCCGGCGATAGCTTTAGTTTTAACTCTTTATTTCTTAATTTCACAACCGCTTCCTTCGAACGTATAACACAGAGTGTCGCAACGATTCTCCCTCTTCCTACTTCTCGCTCATCCGTGTGAGCGAGGCAGGTATACGTATCTGCGATCTCCTATGCTGCAGTACTTGGTAGAAAGGGATGACAATATAACGTTTACAGTTAACTTAAACTAGGTTTCCCGCTTATTCTATAGTACAGTGGGTGTCGTATTAATATATTACATCATATGTCGTACAGTGGGCCATGTCAGTATATGTCCTACTACAAACCAAATGGCCATTTTGCAAAAAAAGGCTGGACTTTTATCGGTAAAAGCTCCATACAACATTTTCTTTTATCGTACAGGACAACCGGATAACATCAGAAATTCGTACAGCCTTTGAACATTGGGAATATTGAAGTGCGACTTTGGGTTGAAGGCCTAATTCATAAAATCATAACATTACTGCCAGAAAACACTTGTAAGTTGTACCTCTACCACAGAGTCTTCGCGGTGAGATGCAATGCAACAACATCCAACCAGTATTCCATTATTACTATAACGTCCACATTTGCTTACGACACCGCAATCCTGAGCCGCTCGAGACGCCCAACCCGAGCAACAGCTCAACTAGCTCTGGTGGTAGTTGAGAAGTGGGTATCAGACTGGCTAATTAAAATTAATGAACAAAAGTGTTAGCACATAACATTTACTCTTATCAGACCGCTAACTTTGAACAGTACTCAGCGTCCACCTCGACAGACGTCTAATTTGAAGAAAACACATTGAATGTAAGAAATTACATCTGAAACGTAGAGCCTAGATTTGTTAGTTTCATTAAAGAGAAGACTGAATAAATAAAGCAAAATGGAAAAAAAATACTTTTCATGTGTGACCACGATTGATATTGAATAACGATTAATTAAACACTTACCTCTGCAGAAAAATGGAATGAACTCGTAAACAATTTTGTGCAAACTTTCGACGTGGACACGACAAAAGTGCATCGATGAACTTAAATCTATGTGTGGAGACGAAAAACCATCATACACTGTGAAAAACTGGTTTAATCAATTCAATCGTGGCCGACACTCGCTTGAAGACGATGATCGAGAAGGTCGTCTTAAAGCAGGCGTTGTGACAGAGAACATTGATGCAGTGCGTGAGTTCACAATGGCCAAATGCCCAATCCTTGGGCATTTCTTCCACCATCATACATTCGATTCTGCATGAACACCTGGCCGTAAAATAGGTTTGTTCTCGTTATAGGCCTGCACAACTTCACAATCGCTCAAAAGGTGCAAATTAATTTTGATAAAATACAATCGCGGTGTTTCAAAAGACGTTACAGGTGACGAATCATGGATCTATGCTTATGAGTCTTTGAGGACGAGTTAAATCCTACGAAAAATGTTGGTGGAAGAAGCACTTCGAAGCAAATGGTCCCCTGTTTCTTCGGTACCTATTAAAACATTTTTTTAGGACCCTGTTTTCAATTTTGCATGTTGCATGTTTTTTAGCAATGTATGGGTATATTAAGGGGTACATTAGATTCGTCGAAAAGTATGTTACAGGTCGTAGGAAGCGTTCTTGCCCCTATACAGTATATATATTCTTGACCAGGATTATTTCCGTCCAACAGTCTGTCTGTCCGTATGAACGCTGTGATCTCGGAAACTATAAAAGTTTTAATACTGGAATAGGTATTCAGATTCTAGAGATTGCTGCGCAGCGCATGAGTATGGCTTAAAAAAGCCAACAAGCCGCCCAAAGCGGCCTAAATGCTAGAATAAATATTTTATCTGATGGTTTCGTCAATTCCTATCGATTGACTCTAAAAAAGTTTTGCCACGCCCACTCCAACGGCAACATACGCCCATAACGCCAAAAACTGTCTGACGCCCACACGACCAAATGTTGTGATCGTAGGTGGCGCCTCTCAATGTCTAAAAATGTCACTTGGCACCTTTAACTGAGTAACGGGGATCTAATAGTAGAGACACTCGACTACAGCTTTTTTCCTTGTTTTGTATAAACCAAAATGTGTATGAAAACATTTACTTTAGTATACCATTTCCAAGCATTCATATTTTATGTTGTTGTTTGATTCGTGTACTTATTTTCTATCGTTCTAGCTGGCCACGGAACGGAACTGAAGAAATCGAAAATGCACTTTACGAGATGGGACATGCCCAGCCTTTGCTTAATCAGCGTTATCCCAAGAGATCACCGTCCGCTGAACTATACGCAGACCATAACAACCAACCTGGGGCAGGACAAGTAGGTGGACAGCGCTTTTATACATTTGATATTCCCAGCTGCACCTCACGGTCTGAAATGTTTTCTGGAAAGTACGTTGGCGGAGGTCAAGAGCCCACTTCGACATCCTTGCCTTTATCCAGCAATCTGGATGTGGGTCACTATGTACATGCTAACAAAAATACCTGCTCAAGCAACGGCATCTGCTATACCCCGTACAATTACAATTGGAATTGCGCTTCTGGAGCAAATGCATTCAATGTGTCCTGCCAATCTCTCCTCTGCAGTTATATGCAGCCCGAGCGACGTCAGGCTGCAGCGGCCCCCTACCAGACTTGCCAACCGTATGTGCCGCTCTATCAGACAAGTTATTCTACCCTGCAACAGACCACCTTTTTGTCAGCCGCTGCAATTCAAGACAATGCACTCGCTAAAAGCTCATTTGCTATACCCCCCACGAAATCCGCAGTGGCCGACCTCACCTTTACCAAAGGCATAATCAATTTGAATACGCCCTTAATAGTGTTGCCCATGTCCAGTCCAATAACAACAGCGTTAGCCCCTGGAAATATAAACAGTGGAAAAGGTAGAGATATTGAAGAACTGGCCAAGTTGAAGGAGGCCAGCGACGCGGTAACTTTGCAAATCACCAATCTGGACTACTCGCTGGACGAATCCAGTCTCCGCAGCTTCCTAATGAATCAACTCAAGCCAATAACCCCGGTTGTGTCACTAGTCTTCGAGGGAATCTCATATGCCAAAGTCACTGTACCAGACCTTTATGTGAGAGTCCACAAATCTTATGTAAAGTAGTAAAAGCCGACGCACAGAGGCGCCTTTGACCTAAAAACCTTCGATAAATTGATGTAGGCCATCGTGCGACACGAAATTTATCTAGTATTTCAAATGTGTAACCCTTATAGATGTCCATTTTTATACCCGTTACTCGTAGAGCAAAAGGGTATACTAGATTCGTCGAAAAGTATGTAACAGGGAGAAGGAAGCGTTTCCGACCCCATAAAGTATATATACTCTTGATCAGGATCACTAGCCGAGTCGATCTAGCCATGTCCGTCTGTCCGTCTGTCCGTCCGTCCGGATGAACGCTGAGATCTCGGAAACTATAAGAGCTAGGCTATTGAGATTTGGCATGCAGATTCCTGAGCTTCTTACGCAGCTTGTTTGTTTCAGCAGCTCTTACAGTTTTAATGTTAGAATAAAATTTTTTATCTGAAATGTATTGTTCTCATCAATAACTATCGATTGCATATCTCCATTTTCTTGGTCCCTTTAGCTGTGTAACGGGTATCTGATAGTCGAGTTACTCGACTATAGCGTTCTTGTTTTTAAATATGGCCATTCAAAGTCAAAAATTAAATTTTTTCATTGTGCCCACTTTATCCAAATAGTTTAGCTTCTTGCCTTAAAGGCAATTGAATATGCCTTTGTAGGCATTTTATGTTGCACTGTGCCTAATAAGAACATTTAAAAAAAGTGTATTTATATTATATTAAAATAACGGAAATTTCTCTCGTAAGAGACTTAGAAAAAACAACGCCAACTTATTCTCCCGGTCCTGATGGACTCCCCGGGTGTGTGCTTAAGTTTTGTGCGTCAACCATATGTAAACCGATTCTTAAACTTTTTAATTTGTCTATTTCATCGTCAGTTTTTCCTACTATCTGGAAGGACTCTTTTATCATTCCACTTCACAAAAAGGGTGCGAATTCGAAAGCGAATTACAGAGGTATTTCTAAATTGTGCCTCAGGGTAGTCATTTGGGCCCTTTGCTGTTTACTTTGTTTATTAACGATCTTCCCTCTATCATAACACATTCTTGTGTACTAATGTATGCTGATGATGTTAAGCTTTGTTTATCACATAATGATATAGCGTCGGGTTTCAACTTACAGTCAGATATTGATTGTTTTCAGGGATGGTGTGAGTATAACCTTTTAAATTTGAACTGCCTTAAATGCAACGTTATGACTTTTCATAGGGGTACTCCTATTTTTTTTAGTTACTCTCTTCAAAATACGCCACTTGACCGTATATATTCAGTTAATGACTTAGGCGTTCTTCTGGACCCAAAACTTAAATTTGACTGCCACATAATGTCCACTGTCAGCAAGGCCATGAGTGTTCTTGGGTTTATAAAGCGTTGGTCAAAAGAATTTGATGACCCTTATACAACCAAATTATTATTTACCTCCCTTGTCCGTCCTATTTTGGAATATTGTTTTTCGGTTTGGAGTCCACAATATCAAGTGCATATTGACCGTATTAAGTCGGTACAAAAAAAGTTTCTTCTTTTTGCCCTTCGTAGTTTGAACTGGGATCAAAACATAAGGCTACCTTCCTATCAGAGTAGATTACTGTTGCTTAATTTACCTACCCTTGCAAATCGTAGAACAATGCTTGGTACTATTTTTATGCAAAATCTTATAAAAGGTGATATTGATTCTGTAGAACTTGTAAACCGCCTAACTTTCAATGTTCCTGTTAGACTAACACGAAATTATTATCCCCTAAATTTGCCACGATGTACATCTAATTTTTGTCTGCACGAGCCCTTTCGCGTTCTATGTAATAATTATAACAACCTTTATCATTTAATTTGCACTTCAACATCTATCCCGGTATTAAAAACTAATATTTTAACTCATTTGCTTCATTCTTAGATGCTTCTTTTATTTTCATTTGTGTCCCGTCTCTATTTGTTTTTTGTATCTTCCTCGCGAACTCGTATTTTTTGCCCAAATTGATAAACGGGCCCCGCGCGTAACAAGCACGTGCTTGGTGTCGTTGGGCCACTTGTTTGTACTGCTCGTAGTGCATCAACGTCCATCATTATTATAGTTGAGTGAACAAGATTCTCAGGCCGCGTTAGTTGTTCTGAACTCGTAAAAGTGATCATTTTTGTTGCCAAATAACTTTCAAACGTGACTTCTTATGACAGTGTCGAAGTACTCGACTATAGCGTTATTCCTTGTTTAAAAGTGGAGTGATAAAAGATACCTTTCATATTTCAGAAGAATAAGAACAAAAAAGGGACATCTGGAAAAGTTTTGACAATAATTTACACAAAGCATCTGTTCGTTGGCCATATTGGGAGCAATACCACAAGCATACTATGCAAACGTTTTAAATACTCAAAATTTACTGACCTCCTTTAAAGTGCAACTCATTTCTTTGATCTATACTATGAACTTCCCTGTTATCCACGTAACTGGCTACTACTAGTAGTGAATCACGTATCTATTTATGAATAAATCAGTTATCAATGCAGCTTACAGATCCGCGATTATACTTCCTACCTCCAGGGGCTCGTACTACTACACAATCTCAACTAGCAGCTAACCTTCGTCAGCTTACCCTCTGTGTAGTTCTCTAGTAGTAGTAACTCTCGTTACGTTATCGCGATGAGATCATCGTTTTGTCATTAAAGGGTACCCGTACCAGCGACAAGTCCTCATTATCCCCTGGTCCTGCGGTGAAACCCAGAGGTGTTTACATCGGGTTGGCACAAGCAGAACAACTTGGTACAAAAAAAGTTACTGAGAAGTGAGACATATAAATAGGGGACTTAAAATACAGTTGGAGTGAGAAATAAGGTAGCATCCTAGCTAATAAACGAGTAAATGGATTGAAACAATTTGGCTAATAAGAACGCAGTATTAGACTCATTATAAAGGTTATCGTATTTCGATTTAGAATTTTTTGGCCTGAAGAGTATTTAGAGTATATCAGGAAAAAATTCTTCGAAGGGGGCTTTTAATAATCTTAATGGAGCTTATGACAAGGGGGAAATTTGCTTTATTTGCTTATAACTTTTTAATGCATGGTCTGATCTCCATTTTTTTTGGCAAAAACAGTATTTACAGTGTTTCAGGAAAAAGGTCTACGAGAGGACCAAGGGTCTTATAATAACCTTACGTTAATGGAGCTTATGCTTCTAAAGAACCAAGAAAGGCGTCTTCAGGTGTAAAAAAAATTCGTGTGCTTTGGCGATCACCAAGTTCAAGACTGAGTTTAATTGTCTTTATTAAAAGTTAATAAGACCGTGGACAAGAACATCTTAATCAATTGAAAGAATCCAAAAAATGGTACACTTTTAGAACTTTACTGTATTTTACTCAGTTGTGCAGATTTTGTATTTATACGAATCATTTTTATTAAAAATGCATATATACACAAACAAGCACGGATATATTGTTTTCAGTATTCTTATCTTCATTTCTTTTCCACCTGGAATAGATTCTCACATTTTTGTTCAATTCAATGTTCAATTAAAACTTTTTTAAATTTTGGGTTGAGTTCATGTATTTAAATAAAATGCAACCATTACCAGTATTGTAAAGTGGTTAAACAAAGAAATTCTATTCTAAAATAAATATATATTTTAAGAAATATTACATATAACCACGCAAAATTAATAACAGAGAAATGGCAAAAGAAAAAATAAAAAATGAAAGGAAGTAAACTTCGGCAAGCCTAATTTTGTATACCCTTGCAGTTATAACCATACAATTAAAAAAAAAAATAATCTTCCCAAAAGTATAAGATAAAATGTCAAAAAACACCGAAGCTATGATTTGTTTCATATTATTTTCCCACCAATTTTCCGATCGTTTCTATGGCAGCTATATGATATAGTCCTCTGATTTTGATTAAATTAAATTAGAATTTCAGAACAAATTAAAAAATGTTATTTCCAAGCGTAGGAGGTTATATGTTAAAAAACATAAAAAATATTATATTTTTAGTTTTTTTTTTTATTTCTATGCGAGCTATAAGATATAGTTGTCCGATCCGGAAAAAGACTTAGGAAAGTTTCAGCCTGATAGCTTTAAAACTGAGAGACTAGTTTGCGTAGAAACGGACGGACGGACGGACATGGCTAGATGGACTCGTCTAGTGATGCTAATCACTGCGTTGCAAACTTCTGACTGAAATCATAATAGCCTCTTCAAGGGAATAATAATTGCAAGGGTGTAATAATTATTTAATTATTTCTCTGACCGTTTCTTTGACAGCTATATGTTGGAGACGTCCAATTTGTATTAAATTTAATTTAAAATTCTTAAAAAACAAAATGTTATTCCCAATAGTAATAGATAATAGGTCAAAAAATACCAAAGCTATGTTTTGTTACATATTACATCTTAAAAATACACAAAATGTTATTCCCAACAGTATAAGTAAATAGGTCAAACAAGGAAGAACGCTATAGTCGAGTACCTCGACTATCAGATACCCGTAGCTCAGCTAAATGGAGATATGCAAGCAGCAAAGCGAGATTAAAATGCGCCATCTACCGGCGGTCTACAGATTTAAGCGTTATGGGCGTTAAAGTGGGCGTGGCAAATTTTGTTTTGGATCAATCGATATGTATTGACGAGACCAATTCATTTCAGTTAAAGTTTTCAGTTTTCAGTTTCACAGGTTTTCGCGGTTTGTGGGCGTTAAAGTAGGCGTGGCAAACTTTTTTGGGTCAATCGATAGGTTTTGATGGGAACAATATATTTCAGTTAAAATTTTTATTCTAGCATCAAAACTGTAGGACCCACAGTTTTGGGCGGTTTGTGGGCGTTAGAGTGGGCGTGGCACTCTACTGAAACAAACTTGCGCTGCGTAAGAAGCTCAGGAATCTGCACGCCAAATCTCAGTAGCCTAGCTCTCATAGTTTCCAATGATCTTAGCGTTCATCCAGACGGACAGACAGACGGACAGACGGACTTGGCTAGATCGACTCGGCTAGTGATCCTGATCAAGAATATATATACTTTATGGGGTCGGAAACTCTTCCTTCTGCCTGTTACATACTTTCCGACGAATCTATTATACCCTTTTACTCTACGAGTAAAGCTATGATTTGTTACATACTATTTTCCCAACAATTTTCCGATCGCTCCTATGACAGCTTTATGATACAGTCGTCCTAT